ATTTTTATAAATATAAAAATCAAATATTTTGTTAGAACTCAATGATTATTTTAATGATATTTTATATTTAAAATAAGATGTTTATCATCTATTTGATTATATTTATTTGCAGTTAGTTACATGAATTCAAATATTAAGCTTTAATAAGTTGTACTTACGCAAAATTTACTTGTAATCTACAATTTTAAGTAATATGCATCAATAAATAGTACTTCATGCATAAAAAATGATTTTTAAGAGTTTTTGTCAAATACTTTATAATATAGTATAGATATGTCACCTTAGGGTTTGCCTTAAAAAAACGTCATGATCTTGCCGTAACTTGTAAGGCTTGAAGCTTGATCACCTCATTGTCACGCTACGCCTCACCTTATTTAGAATCTTGGTAGCAATCATTTTGCCAATTCTTCTGTATGGTTTAAGGGATTTAATAGGATTTAGAATTGGACTTCAATCCAATCTCACATTTGATTTAAATAAAAATCCGGAATTGAAGTCTCATAAACAGTGGATTTAGAAATCCCATGAGCACAGTTAGTATTTCACATGATTTGTTTGTAATAATGTTTTCAAATATGTTAAAAATATTCGTTTTGCAAGAATCAATTAATAAACGATAATTTAAAATTTTTCATTATTATCTATAATTTTCTTTTATAATTAATTATACAGTAAATTCAATTCAATTGCAAATCCTATAAATCAAACACAAAATTTGAATCTCTTAAAACATTCCTCAAACCATGCCCTCTTAGTTTCATTCCTAAATATGAATACTTGTTATTCATCAATACGTGCCTCAACGAAATACTTTATGGTATTTCGTACTTGATGGATCGAAAGTCATCAACTTATATTTATGCACGCAAATGTTTTTTTAACAAGCACAATAGTTTTTCTGCAATAAAAATGCCAAATAAAATAGTTGAAGATGCACTTGCGCGTTATTCCGGTTTCATGTATGAGCAAGAATTTTAATAGAGATTAGCAAATCCATTCCTACTTCTCACTCACAGATGACGACGATGGTGAAGAACTAATGATCATGACAAAGATCGTTGCCACTCCAGATTCCCCCATTTCATTGAACCAAACTAGTGACCTACTTTGTGGTGGTCATTAACTTTGGTCACTAATTTGAAAAATTAATGACGACTTTCACTGATTTAGTGACGACATTTAGTGACCAGGTTAGTCGTCACAAACACAGTGACCACTATAGTTTTGTCACTAATTCGTGATCATTTTTGAATTTGGTCACTAACGTAAATTAGTGACGGATCTTTAATGACGAAAAGTGACCACCCAAATGTTAGTCATTAAAGGGTTTTAGTGACCAATTTTTATATTAGTAGTGACCAAAAATATTTTGTCACTAATGAGGATTTTTCTTGTAATTACATGTTAGAATATATTTATCTCCTTAAGGACTCTATTAATAAGTAAATCTTCCATATATTCTCACACGGTCTGGCAACTTGATTGGAAATCAAAGTAGTAGTCAATAGACCGCTAACCAAAAAACACACACACCAACATTACCCCGTCGAATATGAGCAGACCAGCTGTAAATGATCATCTTCTTTGATCTATATATTGTAACAATAACCAAAAAAAACACACACCGACATCAATAATCATAAATTATATGTGAATCACTTGTTCTTCTCGACTTCCCAACAACTCCAACTTCGTAGTTAAACATAAAATTAACCATTAAAAAATGAATTAAATGATAATGCCTACAAAACCAACAAACATTAGAAATAGAAATACCATCAAACAATGAATTAAATAATAACAACCGTAAAATGAACAAACATGTACAACAAAATTTGTTTTGTCCGAGTCTCCCGTAATCATCCAAAAACCCAATTCTCCTGTTCCATCTCAAGATGTTGTTGCTTAGCAAAGAGGAACTTCGTTTCGTTTAGATGCCTTCTCACTCAATGACGATCGGTGGTTTGATCAAAATGTTGTGCTTAACATATGTATTTAGTTGTATGAACTATGAACTTACTTACTAAAGACTTAATTATGTTCAATTAACTAAGAAAAATATAGAAATAATATGGTTATATTTAAAAGAAATTAGATGATCTAGACGCATATTTGCTCACATTAATTTAGATCACTATATTAATAAACTAACATCATCATAACCCACTTTGGTTGGTTCACTCCAACTTGCTTCTGTTTGATAGTTGCTAATGATTTGGTGCTAAATGATTAAATGGTAAGAATAATTAAAAGGCTCTAATGATAAAATATAAAATGAAATATCATTGTCTGGTAATTATTTACAATAAATTAGGATGTTGAATGGTTAAGTAAGACACAAGATGCAAAATCATTCAAAGAATTTTTGAAACATTAAAAAGTAGTTTTTTTTTATCAAACAAGATTCACATTTTAACAATTCAAAAACTATCTCTTAATGAAGCTATTAAGAGGTAAACAAACAACCATGTAGGCTAGCTATATGGTGAGAGAAACGTGGCTATTTCTTCAAACCACAATCATAAAATTAGTTGTAAACATTTATACTAATCCTGTTTGTGTTGTGCATATATAGATTAGAGTAAATTACATGATCGGTATATGTGGTTTTACGTAAAATCATACCGTGTATCCCTAAATGAAAATAGTTATGGCAAAGGTTTCAATGATTTACATTTTTACACGCCTTTGATCCCTTTACCCTAACATCATTAGTTAATTCCGTTAAAATAGGTTAAGTCTAAAGATATTTTAGTCTTTTTATTCTCTTTTATTTTCTATTTAGAAAATTTTCGATTTAAAAACCACAGGGATGAAAAATGTGACTTTCTTTATTCATGTATATATATAGATCTATATATTTATATATAACACACACACATGTGTGTGTATATATATATATATATATATATATCACCACAAACACAGATCGGCAACCAACATACGGGAGATAAACGACGACCAACTTCCTTACCCCGTCTCCGGCGAAATGTACACCCATCGATCATTGTCATCGTTTTAACCTCATTTGCAGAGGTTGGGCATGCGCAAGCTGGGAAGCTTACTGAAAAGATATTACAAGTAAATAACTTAAAAACACACAAAAGAGAGGTAAAGAAACCCACAACATCTCGATGATGGCTGCTCCAACGCTGCCATGCTCTCTGAACAAAAGAGAGTATAGAAGTATCAAAACCCAGAAAATGTAGTAGATAAAAGTCGAAAACCCTAGCTAGGCCAATAGACTGTAAAAATTCCCTTCGAGATCTATGACCTGCTGCTCCTTTTTCTCCTACATCGTCGCTGGGGTCACGAACGAAAAACCCAGAAGCATGGCTGCTCAGCCTGTTGCTTCTTCAGTAGATCTCAGATGCCTTGCAACCTCAAAATAATCTTTCGGAATACCCGACCGCAAGAAGATCAGGGAGGAAGGTAATTAGGGACAGAAAAGGCTAAATAAAGGAAAGGTTGAAGAAGAAGAAGAAGAAGGGAAATCTTAAAGGAAGGGATATGAAAGGTGCGCCTTTTCAGTAGGATAAGATGGTATGCCTCTTCGTTTTTATTCTTGATGTAAATTTGGGAACATTTTATTGCATTATGTAGAAACTACGTACATCATGCATTCATATATGTTATTAATTAATTAATTGAAGTTGAAGAAATTACCTTGACACCCCATGCATGATAAAGAGTACACGTACATTCTAAGGGATTGATTGCTTCAAATGAACACGCCACTCTTCAATAAATGCCATTTTCTCAGGATCCAAATTTGGTACTTCAAACGCATCAAGTTTTTCTATTATCTTCTTAGTACTACCAAGAAGCTCCGCTGCAGCCCCAACACTTGCCTCTCGTTTCTCAATTGCATCGTCCTGGCATTTCATTACTATGACTCGTGGTAAGTTGGTAAAACAAGCAACCGCTATGTCCACAATCATGCTAGATAGCAGGTAAAACAGTTGCTCTCCTCTGCCGTCTTGGATGTCATCAGGGTAGTTAACCATGATTGTTTGGGTCACACGGTACATCGAATCGGCAACAACCAACCTGTCACAAGAGCTGTCGAACGGTTCCTCGTTGATGTGTTTGTTCATTTCTACTGCAATGTCCTTTGCTGTATCAGCAAACCATTCAAGAATCTCTTTTGGATTTTTTTCTTTATAAGCATTTCTTTGGAGCGTGTTCCCCAACCACTTGTAGTTGACTTCAACCTCTTGCCACAACGCCATAGTTGCCTTATGAATTTTTTTATATTCACCTACGTTGTTAAGGCTTTCTTCAACAAGAAGAGTATATGAAAGACTTTCACACACACCTCTAAACAAGTTATCAACACTCTCCTGACTGATGTTTGGGAGTGTAATTGCGATGCATGTTAAGGTTACTATCGGCAGGCTCCAACTGTTGGGAAATGTAACCCAAATCAGACGTTGAATATTCTCACTATCAAATTTCACTACTCCTTCGAATCCCGTACATTGCTCAATCAGCTTCAGAAGATTTGTAGGCAGTTGCTTCTCACCCTTCTGGATTGAGCGATTTGCCGAGTTTGAAATGCTTTTGAGTGTTCTTCTACCAAGCTCCATCTCGTCTTGAAGTTGCAAAACGTAGTTTTCAACGTCTTGGTTTGTATCACGATTTTGCTCAAAGGCGTGCTCAGTTTCACGATTTGAGGCAACAGGCATACGAAAGAAGTTTGCCTTCAATGACTTGCAGCAGTTTACACAAAACACACCGATAATTACAGTGCCCAGTGGAATGAGTCCTACTATTTTGCATGATACCACAATTACCTTTTGACATATAATGCAAAGGTTTAGAATGAGGTGATACGAATTGTAGACAAGAGCTTTTGATATCCGACCACTTAATGGAAAAGCTAAAGGAATCTCTTTCCACTCCAACAACTTTTGCGTCCAGTACTTCTCTACTTCACAGACCTTGGTATGTTTCTTAACCCATTTAAGGGACAATTTGAAACTTAAGGCTGCAAAGCATCTGAATAGTGGGGCAATGATACCCACTAAAATTCCAATGACTTGTATTATGACGATCCCAACTATCGACCACTCATAATCTGAACCGAAATCTAAATAAGCTCTTCCTCCTAAATATGCCCAGACCAACACAAAGAAATAGTAATGCAGGGCTATTGTAGGCACACAAGCTATCCCAGCCGCAGAGCATAGTGGAGTGGTAATCATAACAAACTGTGGGCTAGAAGTTCCTGCCATCATCCAATATCTTCTCACATGTTGTATTAGTTCTTCAACCCTCGACATTCTTGTACGTTGCGGGTGTACATCATTTGAAGTTGTTTTTTGTACCCGTTGATACTTCAATTCCAATATCTTTTTTGAGGTTGGAATCGTTAATGCCGAAGATATCATTATTACAAGTAAAAAGAGCATTACGCCTATGTAAACATAGTCATCAAAGTASYKAASAACCAMACCGGTTTCRATCTGGATTRAAACATTGACAACGATTGTGATAACGAGAAGGAACATACCTGTAACATTTGCAAAAAGTTCCCTATTGTCCATAGACGCCAGAGAAGGCATTAAATTAGACATCATAGTACACATGAAGGTCAAGCTTCCCCACTTGGCTAATTGGTCCAAGTTGCCCGGCATCCGACCACTCAGATCGACAGGGAGCTTCATTGCGATAGTTATGAGGGTGATAGTAGCAGTGTTGAGAGTGAAATATTTGGATGGAAACCAGAGTTTTCTATTYCGAAAACCATGGAACAAATCAGCGACCATGAGAAACATACACAGTGATGTTGCTACGGCTATATAGATCCCGATCCACAACATTGGTTTGCTAAAACTCTTCACTTCTTCAAAATCATGTATCATTCGGCAGAAACCCAACACCAATCCAATGTCTCTGGCATCGAGGGTCGTATTGATATAATGGGATGTAGATGCATCACGCTCCAACGCACGCCAAATTCTCATACAGTCGGCGTAAGCTGGAGTCATCTTGGAAATTAACTAGTATAAAGGGATATGTAATTAATAGTTGTTGAACTTAGCATGAATATATATATATATATATATATGTATATATATACATGTATATATGAGTGTGTAATTTATTTATATCCAGAAAAACTTAAGAATTTATTGTGGCAATTAGTTGCCATGGTTTATGTGGTGGAGAGGAAGGATGCATGAAAGCAAAAGTTATATCTGTCGGCTACTATCCTATATTATTAGCCATTATCAAACACAATTTCTTATCAAGAAATCATACTCATAATAACCATACATCACAATTTCTTTCTGCGTCTCACTTAAGAAATTCGTAATGAAAACACTGAAGTGGATGACACTACAAAACTGAGGACCATTCGTTGATGATCCATCGCTGATAATCCGTGGGTCAAAAGGTCGTGGGTAATGCTGTTAGCGAGGGGAACATTTAACGACAAAATAGCAACGGAAGGTTATCAACGACTGATTAGTGAGAGAAATTTATAGCGACAGAAACCTTTAATTAGCAACGGATTAGCGACGGGCTTTTAAGCGACATATTAGCGAGGGATCGGGAACTTTTAGCGATGATCTTCCGTCGCTATCCGTCCTCGTTTGTATTAATTTTAAAAAAATAAATTAAAATTACATATTCCCTTGTATTTTTTATACAAAACCTGCCGATTAGCCATGAAAGTAATCCCTCACTAATTAGTAACGGATAGGCCACAAACTCATTCCCTCGCTAATTAGCGACGGAATGGGTTTGTGGCTTACCCGTTGCTAATTAGTTAGGGATTGTTTCTATCACAAAATTCCGTATCATACCCTATTTTCTAGTAGTGTGGTCTTATGGTCTGCCATAGAATTTGGAGCTTCGTTGATGTTTGTGTGTTGTATTGTCATACACTGATTACATTCCAATAAATTGGATAATATGGAGTCACGAATCCAGGGTATTATTATTTTTTGTTTTTGAGTTGATCAAATATATAATACATAGTAATTTAATGAAATATGCTATATATATATATATATATATATATATAATATTGATATTGTATACCTTAATCAAATTTCAGATCTTTTGTTATTTTGTAGTTATTGTTCAATACTCGTTATCAAAGAAAGTGACAATTATTCCAGGGGCATATTACTGCTTTTGCTACCATAATATCATTGTGATGGTATTTGTCTCAGATTTCATAGAATATTGCTTATTATAACCCGTTGATTTCATTTAAGACGTAAAAATAAAATCTTTTTCATTTGATTTCTTCAACTATTGATCAGAAACCAGAAGTGAAGTTTCATTTACAGTAATTAATCATAAGTAGAAAAGCAGTAAGAACTAAAATGAAGAGTGCAGTAAAAATAAATGCAAGAATATTTACTTCCATAATCTCATCGTTTTTTTTATTTCACAATAACTCGGGAATTAATCCCATAGAGATGATAAATCTTTCATCTGTCAATTCAATGAATGCATTATCTACCGATGATCTTGAATCGGATCAATATCATGAATAACAATATCTGAGCTATTAAATTAATTCGTCGTCGAAAATTAAATTGATCCATACTGAATCCAAAATTGGATTCCCAACTCAATCCAAAATTCATTGATAAAGGAAAAGAGGATGTAACATGACTAGAAAAGAGTAAATGTGAATTATCAGTGGAAGCAACAGCCCATATTAACTTTCGCTACTATCAAGAATACCATTTTTTCAATTCTCGTGGTCGTGAGATTCGTCGGTGATATTTTTTCCGACGGATCGGTCCATTGGTAAAACCCCTATATATGGTAGTGGTATATACTATTTTTTTTAGAAACACGATTTGAAATAGAAATTTTCAAAAAACTTGTTTTCGAGTAGTGGTATTTTTTGGTAATGTGTATGTTTTATTCCTTTTATAACTAAAAAAATTGGGTTCATCGACAGATTTTTCTGACGGATTTTTGTCGGAAAATTATCGACAGATTCCAAAAAAAATAAAAAAAAGTCAACAAAACGCCACAAATCCCCCACTGATTTAAAAAATTTATATTATTTTAATTAAATTTCTGATGGATTTTCGACGGATAATTTATTTTCTTATTATTTAATGGATTTCATCACAAATTAGTCCCATTTTTTTAGAAAAATTAATTGATGTTAATTAATTAACAATATTCGACGTGTTTAAAATTGTTAAAAATGTTTTTTTTTTTTGTTTTTTCTTTAAAACCATTATCTAGATAAAAAAATCTGTCAAAAATTCGTCTTAAAATGTTGAATTTTTTTTTCTTTAAAAACCATTTTCTAGGGTAAATATTATATAACATTTTTCGATAGATCCGTCAAAATCTGTCGGAAAATGTCATATATCTATACTATATTATAAA